CTTTGGCCTGCTCCCTCTTGCCACCCTTTGTCTTCCTCCATCTACCCCAAAACTTTGTCACCATTTTTCCCCACTGTCATTTCGAAAAGCCTTCTCTATGCTCCCACTCACTACTGTTTTCGCCATTCATCTACCCAAAGACTTTTCTTCACTGTTCTTCCCCACCGTATTTTCTCCCTTTCCCTGGCCACCTTCTTTTTCCCCTTCCTGCTCTCGTCACCCTCTTTTGCTCCTTCACCTACACAAAAACATTTCTCCTATCTTTTCTCAAAGCCTTCTCCCCACTCCTGCTGCTCACCACCTCTTTTCCCCCTTCATATACCCAAAACTGTTTTCCCCACCGTCTTTTCCCCTCTCCCTCCTTGCCACCCTCTTTCCCTTCTCAATCTACCCAAAAACATTTACCAATCCTCTTTTCACAAACCCTTCTCCTCCTGCTTGCCACCCTTTGTCCTCCAGATACCCCAAACTATTTTCCCCATCATTTTTCCCAACCCTCTTTCCCCACTCCTGCTCACCACCTTTATCCGTCTCCCGCTTGCCACCCTCTTTTCCCCCTCCATCTACTTAAAAACTTTCCTCCTCATCTTTTCACAAAAACCTCTCCCTCCTGCTCACCGCTCTCTTCCCCCTCCCTCTCTGCACACCTTTTTCTCCTTCTACTTGCCACCCTCTTCCCCCCCACCTCCATCTACCCCAAATCATTTTAACCACCATCTTCTTTCCCTGTCTTTCTTTTCTTCCAACTGTGTTTTTGCAAATCTTCTCTCCCTCCTGCTCACCACCCTGTTCCCCACTCATTACCCTCTTTTTCCTCCTCCCACTTGCCAGAGAGTGAGACTCCATTTCAAAAAAAAAAAAAAAATGCAGAGTCTGTTAAATGTGCCTAGATATCTTCACAAATCATCTACTTCCTGTTTTCTGCATATCTTGAAAGGCAGTCCCAAATGGCAGGTAATTATCTAGGTTGTAAAAATAAAACATACTTCCTCTCCCCTTGAATATAAAACAGCATTGTGGGATTAGTGCTTTTTTCTTGGATCATTGTTCAGAAGGAGGGTCAGCCCCCAGACAACCACATTTTTACTGTCATGAAAGGCAAGAGAAAATATACAGCTCAATTTACCCAATGGACAAAAAGGCTCAAATGATGGCACAACTTAGCAGCCAAATTCCTATCAACTACAGACTTTGGACATACTGATCCCTCTCCACCTGCAACCGGGAACATGCACTTTGAGTGACGTCATTCGAAGTTACCCACCCAGACACAGTCTTCATTGATTCTCTGAAGGGTAGTTCCCACAGATTCTCTGGGGCTTTCTCTGCATCATGAGAGGCCGTGCAGCTCTGCCCTTCACCTTCCTGCAGTTTGTCTCTTCTTCCCTATGATCTCAGAGGAACTTTGTCTCAGGCCAACTGTTTGTTCCTTGGGCTCTTTCATTCCCCCTAAAAATCACTTACTCCCCCTCTAAGTTGCCTCCATCTCCATCTATCTCCCTCTCTCCTGAAAAGACAGCACTCTTTAAGCATCAACCATCTGACCCTTCTTGCGGTCTCATTTTTCAGCTGGCTCCCATGTTTATGCCTGTTCTATGTTTTTCTTCTCCTGTTAAGCTGTCTGTTGTTAGTTCCTTTCCGCAGTGAACCTTTACAGAGGAAACTGAACGTTTTCCTTCCAGCCATACAATAGAATTATAAAGCAGAAAAGTTTAGACAGAATTTTCTATTTAAGTGCCAAAACTTCATACTCCATTTCTGATAAAGAGCACAAAGGTTAAAAAAAAAACAAAACTTATCTTTGACCTAAAGCTCTGTTGACATTCTATTAAATAAACACCTACCTATTTAATTTTCATAATGTAAATGGCAGATATTTTTATAATTCTTATGCTAATAAATCATTTCCCTGCTGTTTTTGGTAAAACCCAATATTCATAATAAAGTCCAGAACCATGAATTGTTTGAAATAATTTCTTCTTATGTGTGATTACAAGTATACCACTACAGGAAGTTAGTATACTGTCACACAAGCTAATTATTCGGAGGAAAAGGCCAACTGTAGAAACTCCCAGAAACACAATAGTGGTAAGCATCCATACAATGCCAAGAAAGTCATGCCCAGGATACAAATAATCAGGTGGAAAACTGATCGCCTGGAATAATCAGAGTTGAAATAATGAAAAGGTCAGTGACATTTACAATATTTCAGTAAAAAATGATAATTTTTGGACACCATCAACCTCCTCCAAGAGGTAACCACACCCCTCAGATATCACCAGGGGATTCCACTGCTTCAAAAAAGATTGAAAGTTACCAGTCTCATGTTTTTTGCATGGCTGGTAGTGTTTTTAGGCATTCCAAATGTAGAGTGT